TAATGTACTCGATGAGTCATCTAACCTTCATCTTCTAGGATTAACTCTTACTTCGATCTTTCTTGGAAACATATATCAAATCCGTTGCAAAATTAGCATCTGCTAAAGTTGTATCTCTTTATCGAGCGCGACACTTTCTTACTTCGGATTCTATTCTCTATCTCTATAAATCTCAAATCCGGCCTTGTATGGAATACTGTTGCTTTATCTTAGGCGGATCTTCTAATGATGCCTTTTTTTCTCTTTTAGACAAGGTGCAAAAACGCATTGTAAACATAGTTGGACCTGCTCTAGCAGCCAACCTTCAACCATTATTACACCGTCGTAATGTTACTGCTCTTTCTCTTTTCTAAAAATACTATAATGGGCACTGCTCTAAAGAGCGTCTTTTGTGCCATCTGCTAAAAGTTATTCTCGTGTTACTCGCCATTCAATTAAGTCTCATCTTTTTTCTGTAATTGTTCCTAAGTGCTCCAAAATATCTTATTTGTCTAGTTTTTTTTTCATGTACATCAATTCCTTGAAACTCGCTTCATTCATCTTGTTTTCCTCATTTATATAATTTATTTAATTTCTTTTAAGTTGTCTGTCAATCGTTATCTTGCTCTATAATCTTCATCTTTTCTCCTCCAATAACTTTCAACTCTAATTAGTGGTTGCTTGCAGTCTTGTTGGAAACAAAGATGTTTAAAAATAAAATATAAAGTTAAAAAATTTAAAAAAATGCGTTTGAATTCGCGTGTGAGTTTTTATTTTGAAACGCAAACACAAACCGCAGTTGTTTTTTTTGCGTTCCTATGTATGGATACAAAATACTTTTAAAAATTTTGCTAATACATTGGCATTTAAATAGTTTTTGGAACCTGATACTTGATATTTGCAGCTACTTAAGTATGCATGCAGAATGGTTCGTCTTTTACTTATCTATTTTAATGACCTTTTTTTTATTCTATCTTTTAAGCCCCCTTTTTTTCACCTTCCCATTGGGTACCGGACCAAAAAAAGACGTCTTTTGAACGTTCAAAAGACGTTCAAAACGTTCAAAAGACGTCTAAAACGTGTATAAGACGTTTAAAAAACGTCTTTTTCACGTCCGTGCCCACTGAGCTTTTCCAAATAAAATTAAAAAAAAATTTTTAATATAAAAATCTAAAAAATCAAAACATGGTTATTAAGAGATTCATAACTAGTATCAATGTGAAATTTGCTCCAGTAAAAGAATATATAATTATCTAAAAAAGTTTTAAAATTTTATTTAAAAAAAAATAAAACCTAACAATGATTTTGAATGCTTTTATGGCTTTAACTATCTTTTAAGGTTGTAGCGACGTTTTTAAGGCAAAACAAAGAAATTAAAGCAACAGCTGCGAAATTATCCGCATGGCTGGATTTCTTTTAATTAAGCAATATTTGAATTCAAACTTCAACTTTTTAAAAGTATAGTATCATCATAGTAGAATATATAAGTTATAATTTTTTAATCAAGATTGTTATCGTGACTAGTGACTCTAAGAAAAGACAGAAGTACCAAAAATATAACGAGGAAGCTGTTATGGCCGCTGTTGCTGATGTTCGAGACAATCATTTTTCATGGAGAAAGGCAAGTTTAAAATATAATGTACCTTCTCAGACAATCGGTGATAGAATAAATGGAAGATACGTTGCGCTAAGCAAAAGATAGGTTAGTGTTGTTTAAAATATTTATTTACTTACTATGCTAGATGAAATTCTGCATAAGCAATAAAATTGCAAAAGATTTTTTCAGAAGTTAACATATTTTTTTTACATAAAGGTCGCAAACCTGCTTTAGAAAAAGAGGACAAAGAAAGAATAAACAACTTTTTGATTAAAGCAGCAAAAATAGGATATGATATTTGCCAAAACGATGTACCAAGCATAGTAAAAAATCTTTTAGACATTAAAGAAAAGCAACATATAACAGAGCATCGACTTAATGATAAAGAAAAAAACGATATGATAGCTCATAGTTTGTGAATAATCTGCCAAGCAAGTTTTGGATCTACAGGTAAATAATTGCTACTCTTTTAAGTGTTTTGAGTATATAATAAAGAAATGACACAAAATTTTAGATTTTGATTGACCTATGATTGTTTTGTATCTGTTTAATTTGATAAATCTGGTTTTGATAAACCTGGTTTTTTTTACTTTATATTTGGTAGGTTTTTCAAAAGGCATTCAGATTTTGTAAGAAGAATGCCTGAAAATTTGGGCCACCAGTGTCGAAACGTTTCCCATGCTAAAATCAGGCAATGCTTTACTGACCTGGAGAATTATTTGTTTGAAGAACACTAAATAAACGCTTCAGAGTTCTTTTACCAGAAAACTCTAGTTGAGTGTTTAATTTAGACAAAGCAGGGTTTCCATTAGCAGGGACATTGGAAAGGCTGAAAATAATTGCCCCAAAGGGTATAAAGAATGCTTATCGCATAGCCCCTGATACAAAAACGCAACTAACAGTTCTTGGCTGTGTATCCGGAGATGATAGCTACCAAAAACCTCTAGTTATATTTCCGGCAGCACAGCCTTGTAACAATTTAGACCATGTAAATTCATCTGACTATGTTCTTCAATTTAGACCATGTAAATCCATTTGACTAAGTTCAATTCTTAATTGTTTTTTATTTTATTGGTTTATAAAAATTTCTAAGTACTTTTTAGTTTTTTTTTAAGCATTAACGAAAGATATATTTTCAGTGTCATTTCAGAATAATATTCGACAAATAATGTTTGGGGCTCACCCAAAAGGTTTTTGGTGTAACTTATATAACTCTATAAAGTTTTTTAATATCATCACTTGTTTTTACAGGTCCTAAAGGTTAAGAAAATAAATAAAATATAGCATTTGATAATTGCCTAAATTATTACTATTTTGTAGATAAAATAGTTGGCTGCCTAAATTGAGCTCATTATACTTTTGGTGGCCGTTTGGTTATATTCTATAACGTTTACGGCAAAAACTGCCCGAAATTCACCAACTTACCCTACACTTTTTCAATGAAAGTAGTCGGGTTCATTTTGCGATAACATTTTTATGCAATAAAATAAAGCATATAGTATACTCAGGTATATAGTATATATCAGGTATATAGTATACCTTAGGGTGGCGCGAGTGAAGCAGCCGCTCCAGGCCTCGCGGCTAGAAAAGCCTCGCGCTGCGAAGCCATAATAAACATGAGCAATAAAAACTTTTACTTATTGTTAACAAGAGTGAGGCCTCGCGCAGCATTGCCTCACTCTTGTTAAAAAATAAATATGAAAAAAAGTTTTGGTTAAATGAAAATAATACAACAATAATATACGTGCCAAAAATATCTAATAGATCAGGCAAAAATGTCATTTTATTTTTCAAAATTTAAAAAAAAGGAAAAAAAAATAAAAAAAAAAAAACGAGAACGAATTAAATGAAAGAATTAAAAATAAATTTCAAAAGTAACGTAAGTAAAAATAAATTAATAAAAAAAGTTTAATAAAAAAAAGGTAAAAAATGAATAGGCTGCACACCGGATCTTAGTTTGAAGGAGTAATTATCGTCGGTCATGCTATTTTTAAAGCTTAATATCTTAAGTTCTTAAGACATACTTAAGTTCATCCATGGGTCAAGAAAGGCTTTCAATTGTAACATTTAAGTTTTCATCGTTTTGACCTAATTTTAAAAATTATTTAACCCTACACAATTATTTTTACAGTATTAATAACACTATATTGTTTTATTATAAATATTTGCCAGTATTCCATTATAAAATTTTTGTCTTTTGTTTTACACATTTATTGTATAATATCTACCTACCTATGAGCGCCCCTCATATCGATTGCTGAAAACATAGTATATGCAGACAAGATAACTATTTTGTAAAAATATGTTATATCATTTATAACTGATTTATTCAATAATAACGAAAAAAGGAAAAAATTATCCGGCATTCTAATTCATTTATTTCTTGTCAGATAAAAATTATTATTTAATTTACATTATTCGGCCTTTGATAACTTTAAGAATAAACTTTATTGTTATTATTCTAGATTATCTTATAAAGCAATCAGTCCTTTTTATAAACCTACACAAAAATAACAACTTAAATTAGACCAACCCAAAATTTATGCTTTGCACTTATACAACCTCTTTTCAGACAGTAAGAGAAAATGTTTTCCTTTGTCAAAGCGCCTAAAATGATGACTTTCAAGAAGACCTCGCAAAAATGTTTTGATCCAGGCCTCACATTTTCTAAGGATGGCTCTGAGTATACTTATAACACTCTCTAAACTAAAAAGAAAGTGATGCTGTGTAATCAAAAACTCAATGTTTTAACAGCTAAAAGATTTCCCCTAATTGATACCAGCAGAGAATAATAAAAAATTGATACCATCAGGGATTAATAAAAAAGTAATTAATGGTAAGAACAACAAAAACAAAGTTTCACAAAAATTTAATTTTGCAAACAATAAATTAATAAAATAAAAAATTCGTGCAACAAAAACTGGTGCTTTAGTATTATAAATACTCATTAGAACTAAAACGAAAACAAAAAACCATAATAAAATAATAACAAAAATGAACAGTGTTTACACATAATAAAATAGTAACACTAATTAAATTTTTTATTACATCTTCATTAATTTACACGTTATGAATAATCATAAAATGAAATCTTTTTTTTTTTAGGTTATTAAATAGTTTTTATCATTTATACTTTTATTATAGGATTTGCTTTTGAAGTTTAGAAATTTCATTTTAATATACCTCACGAGCAATGCATTGTGGGTAACAATTCATTGTGCGCAACACACAATGCTTCAGTTAAAAGGTTATAAATAGGCAAAAATTCTTTTTAAGTCGTCATTTATTGCACCTTGTAAGTTTTAAAGGGCAAAACGTAAAATGCAATAGCGTACAAACCATTTTTATTTAGATATTTCATTTTATTTTTTAGAGTTCGTTATTATACTTTAAAGTAAATAAAAAATACTAAAAACTACAGATTTTTTTACGACCACTGTTTACACATTATAAAACAACTTGTATTGAATAAGAAAAACTAAAAGTAACAATTATTTAAAATTTAGAACAAAAGCAACAAAATCCTTAAAAGTTCTTTTTTAATATAGCTTGTCAAAATATTAAAAAAATATTATCTAAAAAAAATATATATATATTAAAAACATAATCAAAGTTATTAAAATAATAAGTAAAAAATTCAGTTTATAGATCTAACGTTTTTATTTTCTTTTAATCTCAACCACTCAACAACTCCATAAAATAAGATACCTACGATTAAAAACCCTATGAGGATGTAAAGCTTAACATTAATGCATAGAGTATTTCCGTAAGCAAACGAAATTACAAATCCTAAAGACTCCCATAGTCGGAAATTCGAAAAAGCAGCTTCTTGATTGGTCGGAAACAGAATGCCAAAAAATGCTGAAACAAAATTTGTATCCAATGATTATGTACAATACCTTTATCAGTAAAAACAAAAATAAAAACTCACATAATAACAACAAGAAAATAATATTTCAAAAATAATAAATAAATATTGAAAAATAATAAAAAAAGCGCTATCCTTTTCTTGGCGTTTGATACATTAATACAAGTTAAATTTTATAAGTTAATTTTTTTACGTGCATCTAAAATATTTAGCTTTTGCAAAGTAAAGCGTCAACATTTCATTTTTAAAGATTTTAATCAATAGGAAGACTGGAGTTAGTTAACACACATTCAAATAAAACTATGTTTATTTCCTATAACTTTGTTGTTAGTTTTTTTTTTTAATTTACAGGGTAATTAAATAGATCGTACGTAAAAGTAACGTACTAATCTAACATTGATAGATATAATAGAAAACTTAGATATCCTGCAATGGTAAAAAAAAAAAAAAAAAAAAATGTTGCAACTTATCCTGCTCAAATGCAAGTTGCATTAGTAAACGATGTAAATTGAAACACTTTGATTGAAGTATTTTTTGGTAGTATAAATTCTACAGAGAATATTATTTCACATAAATTTTATACTTATAATTAATAAAAGGTAAAATATGGAAAACATACGATATAATACGTAAACATACGTAACACTAAATTCAGAAGAATTATCTTAGAGCTATAACACGTATTACATGAAACTTCATATAGGTCTGAAACCATGAAAACATATAGGGTTGAAATCATAAATCTTCGTATATGAAGATTTATGATTTCCCTACATATTGGGCTCTGGAGGCTACATAAGCGCGAATTGGCATATATGCGCAATGGCATAAGCAATGCAAAAATTGGCATAAGTGTGAACTGGAATATATGCAAGTTGGCATAAGTGCGCCGAACAAATTTCCAAACATTAGCAAAAGTGCGAATTGGAATATATGCGAACTGGCATAAGTGCAAATCAGTTAAAAAAACTGATTTGCACTTATGTGTTCGCAAAAAGTACCAATACGCACTTTTGCCAGTTTTTGAAACTGCTTCGCACTTTCAAACTTTAAGTTATATTAGGATTTTATGAATTTAATGGAACTTATCCCGAAGCACCATAATGGTTGATTATGATTTGGCATATATATATATATATATATATATATATATATATATATATATATATATATATATATATATATATATATATATATATATATATATATATATATATATATATATATATATATATATATATATATATTATATATCAACCATTATGGTGCTTCGGGATAAGTTCCATTAAATTCATAAAATTCTAATATAACTTAAAGTTTGAAAGTGCGAAGCAGTTTCAAAAACTGGCATTAGTGCGAACTGGCATAAGTGCGATTTGGCATAAGTACGAAATACTAATTTGCACTTATGCCAATATTCGAAATTTTATTCGGCAATATTATATTTTATTCGGAAATTTTATTATTTTATTATATATAAATTTTTTACTTTGGAAATATGTTTATACAATAAAATGTTTTGGAAAAAGTTTTTTTTAGCTTACAAAAAATAAAAGTTTTAAATAATTTTTTTCGTTTTAATTTATTGTTATTGTTATAATGATTTTTATTTTTTTTTTAATTCTGTTATCCTTATAATGTAAAAATATTTAAAAATAGAAACTTAAAAAATAACCCTAAAAAGACGCTGTTGCAACTTACCCTTTTCACAACTAGCCCTTGTCCTGCTTTTATTTTTAACCCTAGCCCGACTTTTTATTTTTCCACATATATATATATGTTTTTATTTTTAACATTACTTCTTTTTTTAATTTTGCTTTTAAATTATTTTTCAAATTGAAAAAATCAAATTTCAGGCAAACAATTGTCTTCTTAATAATATTAAATGTATTTTTCCCTTTATTAGGCACTTTAAAGTAAATTTCTTGCGTATTACCATTTACTTGGGTTTGCCAAACAGCATCCGAAAACCCCCATAGTCCAGCGCCAAGAAAATACACAAAAATTGTTCGGTCAGAAGACTTCCATATTAAAAACGTCACTAACAATCCAAGATTAATTAATGAAGCTACAGCCATCATAATAGGTCTTCCAGTCCAGCTGACAATTTTGCTGAGAAATAAAGAGAAAGAGGCATCTACAGCCCCAAAGCATATCATAATTAGTCCAACTTTTTCAATGCCCAATGCGCAAGTCACAAAAGCCTAAAAAAATAAAGTTTAATATGTACATATATATATATATATATATATATATATATATATATATATATATATATATATATATATATATATATATATATATATATATTATATATATATATATATACATATATATATATATATATATATATATACATATATATATACATATATATATATACATATATATATATATATATATATATATATATATATATATATATATATATATATATATATATATATATATATATATATATATATATATATATATATATATATATACATATATATATACATATATATATATACATATATATATATATATATATACATATATATATATATATATATATATATATATATATATACATATATATATATATATATATATATACATATATATATATATATACATATATATATATACATATATATATACATATATATATATACATATATATACATATACATATATATATATACATATATATATATATACATATATATATATATACATATATATATATATACATATATATATATACATATATATATATATACATATATATATATACATATATATATATATATACATATATATATATATACATATATATATATATATATACATATATATATATACATATATATATATATATACATATATATATTTATATATATATATATATATATATATATATATATATATATATATATATATATATATATATATATATATATATATATATATATATATATATATATATATGTATATATATATATATATATATATATATATATATATGTATATATATATATATATATATATGTATATATACGCATATATATATATATATATATATATATATATATATATATATATATATATATATATATATATATATATATATATATATATATATATGTATATATATATATATATATATATATATATGTGTGTGTGTGTGTGTGTGTGTGTGTGTGTGTGTGTGTGTGTGTGTGTGTGTGTGTGTGTGTGTGTGTGTTTTATAATTATTAATTGTTATTAGTTTATTAACTCAGCTTTTGTTTATTAAGATCCTGAGATTTATTAAGATCTTGAGATTGCTTAACATTTAATACTTTTTTTGCTAACTTTAATTGGTAACAAGGTTAGATAAGGTTTCATGAAATTTTGCTTCTAAGCATGATATGAAAACATGCATTTCAAACATTTAGCACGATATGAAATTAGATTTCAAATTCGTATAATCTTACTCTTGAACCCAATGAGAGATCACACCATGCCGCAGTGGTGCAGATCACACCATGCTTATAAATTATTTACCTTTGTAAAATCTCCAAAAACAAAGCCTTGTTCCAGACCACAAAAAATTGTCAGCGGTATCATTAACTGCATTTTTCTGTTCTTTAAATGCTTAAACGTCGCAACAAGTAGATTAAAAAATCCTCTTTTCTCATTACCCCGAACAACTTCTATTTTGTCGAGAAAAACAAAAATGACACATATTGCTAATAGACCAAATGCCAAATATATACTCATTAGTGTTGTAACTGTTGACTTGCTTGTCTGTTGTTGAGATGATATAGATGTTGAAGGGCAGTAGTTCTTACCGCATATTTTTTCAACTTCAACATCAGTCAAATTAAATTTTCCACCTTGAAAAGGAAATATAAATACTAAAATTATTTTATATTTATATTTATATTAAAATAAATCATTAAACTAACTTTATTTCATTCATAGCAGTTTTTTATTTTTTGTAAGTCTATGAATAAATATAAAAATTTATAAATGAAAAATTATTCAATAAATATTTTTCATTTATAGTTATTAATTATTACTTTCATTTATATTCGCAATATACCTATAAATAAAAAGTATTTCATTTATAGGTTTTGTACGTCATTTTTCAGTTGCTATTGAATATAGTCAAATGTTTATTTTACTATTACTAAATAAAACATTTTAATAAAAAGTTGTAATACAGTCGTAATAGCAGGTTGCTACACCACCCTAACCATCCATTCAGATTGTAATCAAATTTTGGTTTAAAACTGTAATTTGTAAACATTACTAGGGAAAATTTGTTAAAAAGACAAAAACTGTTTTTAGAAAAGTATAAACAATAAAAGTTTGAAATATTATCAAAACGTAAGATTACACTCATATATCTAGTTTTGTTTCCTCGCTACTGTCTAATGACTAAAGTAAAATTTATTGACGTTTGACGTTGACATTTGACGTTAACGTTTCTTTAAACACTTAGATCTTGTTCACAAAAAAGTTAATAAATGTTTTAATCTAATAGTTGTCGCATTAAAATTATTCAACAATCTACTTATGAAAAAAGAAACGTGTAAGATGTGATTATTTATAACTACATGTAGAAACTAAATCTCCATTATCTATTTTATGAGGTATAATAATTTAATATAAAAACCTGATTCTTTTAGTACTAATGTTGAGAGAAGGTTTCCCCAAATTTGACCACTTTGAAAAATCAAAAAAAATATCCCAAAAAAGCTTGTTACAACGTTATCTTCATTTTGCTTTATATGTCTTCCATATTTCATACCAGATGAAGTTAAATATGAGCATTTAGCAGACCAAAGTGGTGCTCCAGAAAAACCTGAAACATAATAACAAACCATTAGCTAAAATGACTAAATGTTAAATATCTTTACATATATTAAAGCTAAATATCTTTACATATCATTATTTAAGTTACATAAGTTTTACAAATAATATTTTTAGAATTAATTAAGATTGTTTTCAAGATACATATTTGTCTTGATTGAAGTCAGATTAGAAATTCTCAACCATGTGCGAGAATGTATTTTGCAGACAACCACTGAATAAATTTTGACCAGAGATTAATAGTAGGTTGCTAAGAACATTTATAAAACCAATAGAGATTAATAGTAGGTTGCTAAGAACATTTATAAAACCAATAGAGATTAATCGTAGGTTGCTAAGAACATTTATAAAACCAATAGATATTTTTTAAAAAAGTATACAGATAAAACTATGCTTTGCAAAGGTTAAAAAACGTGTTTATATTGCCGATCGTTAAAAAACGTGTTTATATTGCCAATCGTTAAAAAACGTGTTTACATTGCCAAACGTTACATTTTTGTTAAAATATATTATTTTTAAAAAACGTTTACAGTGAAAACTATGCTTTGCAGTGGTTGCAAAATCTGAAAAATGTAAATTATACTGTGCAGGATATGAGACAATTAGTTAATTAGTTCCTCGCTCTTAACTGCACCGTTCTGATTGATTTGAAGATAAATTCTGAATGTAAACTTTGCATTTATTTCGTTCTTTGAAATAAGCTTTTAAATGTTTTTACAAGTTACTTTATGTTCTTTATGTATGTCTGTGTTCTGTCTGAACCTCTGGCGCGGTGTTCGCTCACCCGTAAGTTACTTTATGCTTTTGTTTATGTATTTTATGTTTTTTTATGTATGTTTGTCTTCTGTCTGAACCTCTGGCGCGGTGTTCGCTCACCCGTAAGTTACTTTATGTTTTTTATGTATGTTTGTGTTCTGTCTGAACCTCTGGCGCGGTGTTGACTCACCCGTAAGTTGATTTATGTTTATGTTTGTTTGTGTTCTGTTTATACTTTAATGCAGCGTGAGCTCAGTAACTAACTACTTACTCCAACTACAAAACCTACACTCACCTTAGACTCCTGTATTTTGTTAGATGCAGTGTTTTTCCTAATGCACTTCCAAAATGTCATGCCTGGTTTTCTCAAAGCACTGTTGCGGGAAGTAATTCCTTTTAACTACTCCAGGTCAGGTCAGGATAATCGAGATCAATCTTGCTACTGGTATCATGTAACCCAGTACCACCTGCCACAAGCCCTGCTGCCTTGCAGAGTGTGCTCTTCTTATGCAAAGGCTAGGAGAAATAAACTCTGACCAAAAATTCCCTTGCCTTGGGGCTCTTGGTTGAGTAAAGGCTAGAGATGGTGTCTCGATAAAAATACTCATCTTGGGCAGATGTTAACTGCATCCAGCTACTGTCTTGTAGAAAGCCTCCTAGGCAAAGACTTTAGGGGTAAGCAGAAAAATTCTGCTAACCAGCCTCGAACCCCTTCTTCATCTATTAGGCTGGCGTAGATGTAACCTGCGTTACATTGTTTCCTGCCTAGGATGATGAATGCTGGATCTCCTTGACTCTACTCATAGAATTTTGCTTATGCCTCCTTGATAATGACTATGCAACTCTTCCTGTTATCTCCATATGAGGGTACAGCTCTAAAACTCAGTTTAATGGTTCTGAGGCCGGCTGGTAGTAAGGTTTCCCGAACTCTGTGGTAGCTCTCAGAGAGACTGATTCCATCAACAGCTGCAAAATATCAGAGTATTAACAGTGCCATGTTGCGCATGGATGGTGTCCCTGTTAATGCTTTTGGTGTGCATTGTCAAGGCCACATAAGGAGCCCTATGTCACGGCTTAGGGTTAATTAACAGGATTGAGACAACTGCATAGCTCATTCATAAGGAGGCTGTGCTCTATCTATGAATGAGTCAAGTTCTCATTAAACCCAAATCATGACCAAAGTAACCAAAAATTTAAAACCTAAAAAACCATCCCCACCACCTAAATATTTTAATATATCTTTTACAAATATTCGCGGTCTACGAAGCAACTTTCCATCAGTTGAGTCTTACCTCCTGCAAAAATCACCAGACTTGCTTGCACTCAGTGAAACAAATTTAAGTTCTGCAATTCCTTCTTCAGATTTCAGTGTTGATGGGTACTATCCTTTGATTCGTAAAGACTCCAATAGTCACATGCTAGGTTTAGGGGTATACATACGCATTAATTCCCCTATTTGTCGTGAAATCAGGTTCGAATCCTTTGACCATTCTTTTATGTGCTTTCGCCTAGCACCTCTTCACTCTATCACCTTTCTTTTTGTTCTTTATCGTTCTCCTTCTTCCCATGATTGCACTCTTTTAGATGTTATCTCTGATCAAATTGACCATGCCCTCTCTCTTTACCCCTCTGCCAATATTGTTGTTGTTGGTGATTTTAATGCCCATCACATTGAATGGCTTGGTTCTAACACTACTGATCCTGCTGGCACTAAAGCCTTTAACTTCTGCGTTTCTCAATCTCTTACTCAGATAGTTAACTTTGTGACTCGTTTTCCTGACAACCCTAATCATTTACCTTTACTCCTTGACTTATGTCTTGTCTCTGACCTTAGCTTATGTTCAGTTTCTCCCTTTTCTCCCTTAGGTGGTTCTGACCATGCAATGATCTCTATAAATCTTTCTTCTCGTACTTCTTTTTTGGGCTCACCTTATCATCGCACCACCTACTACTACCCTAAAGCTGACTGCGATTCCTTTCGTGATTTTCTTCGTGATGGTCCTTGGGCTGATGTTTTTTCTCTCTTAGCTGACAAATGCGCCTCCTACGTAACCTCCTGGATTCAGGCTGGAATGGAAGCTTTTATTCCTTCTCGTCGGTTTCAAGTCAAGCCTCATTCTACTCCATAGTTTTTTCCTTCTTGTGCGGCTGCTATATCCAATCGTAATCATTTTTTTCATCTTTTTCAAAAGAACAACTCTCTTGAGAACAAACGGCTATTTATTATTGCAGGAAATCGATGTAAAAAGGTGCTTTCTGATGCTAAATTCTACTATTCTCAGTTCACTAAATCTCGCATCTTATCGCAGAAGTTAGGCTCTAAAGACTTTTGGAAAATCTTCAACAGCATTATTAACAAGGGTAGATCTAGCATTCCATCACTCATTCATGGGACTGATCTTATTACCTCTCCCAAGGATAAGGCAGAACTATTTGCAAAGAACTTTTCTTCTTATTCCACTCTTGAATCTTATGGACATTCTCTTCCTTCCATTCCAGTCAAACAGGTTGATCAATTGTTAGACATTCAAATCACTCCGGCTTCTGTTGCTAAAGTCATATCTCAATTAAACTCGTCTACAGCTTGTGGTCCAGACAACATTCCTGTCACAGTCTTGCAGAATTGTTCTCCAGAACTTTCTTCAATTCTCTCTATACTATTTAACAAGTGTTTGAATGAGTCTTGTTTTCCTGCTTGTTAAAAAATGGCATCTGTGGTTCCAATATTCAAAAACTCTGGAGAAAATTCTTACCCCTCTAATTATCGTCCAATCATTCTTCTTTCTTTTATTAGCAAGGTCTTTGAGTCTTTGATCAACAAATTCCTCACATCTCATCTTGAGTCAAATAAACTACTGTCAGACAATCAATACGGTTTTCGATCCTCTCGCTCTACGGCCGACTTGCTAACTGCTGTAACTGAAAGATTTTATCGTGCATTAGATGGAGGCGGTGAGGCTAGGGCTATTGCTCTCGACATATCTAAAGCTTTCGACAAAGTTTGGCATGCTGGTCTTCTCCATAAGCTTGCTTCATATGGTGTTTATGGTAAAGTTTTTGAGATTATTAAATCATTTTTTTCTAACCGGTTTATTAAAGTCATTCTTGAAGGCCAACACTCTTCTTTATTTCCAGTAACTTCTGGGGTTCCGCAAGGTTCCATCCTGGGCCCTGTTTTGTTTCTTATCTACATAAACGATCAACTCAACTCAACTTTATACTCCTGTCTTGACAAAAAGTCTTCTCTTTTCGATCGCCTAGAACAAGCAGCTGATCTTGAATCCGATCTCACTTCAGTAATAGATTGGGGTTCACAGTGGCTTGTGGATTTCAACTCTAAAAAAACCCAATTGCTTACTGCAAACAACTACCGTAATATGGTCAACATTCCTATATTAATGAATGGCAATCCTCTTACTGAGTCCTCCTCTTTACGTCTTCTTGGATTATCGCTTACTACTGACCTTTCATGGAAACCATATATACAATCGATTGCTAAATTAGCTTCTGCTAAGGTTGGTTTTCTTTATCGTGCTCGCCATTTCCTTACTTCTGATTCCATTCTCTACCTCTACAAATCTCTTATTCGTCCCTGTATGGAATACTGTTGTCATATTTGGGCTGGTTCTTCTAACGATTCACTTTCTCTTCTTGACAAAGTCCAAAAACGCATTGTAAACGTTGTTGGACCTGGACTATCTGCTAAGCTTGAACCTCTTTCCCATCGTCGTAAAGTTGCATCTCTTTCTCTTTTATACAAATACTATCATGGTCACTGCTCAAAGGAGTTATGATCTCTAGTTCCATCAACTAAAATTCATTCTCGTTTTACTCGTCATTTAGCTAATTCTCATTCGTTTACTGTATCTGTCCCTGCATGCTCTAAAAACTTTTATTCATCTAGTTTTTTTCCCCGCATTTCAATCTTTTGGAACTCTCTCCCATCTTCATGTTTTCCTGACTCATACAACCTTCAACTTTTCAAGTCTTCTGTCAACCGTTTCCTTGCTTTATAACTCTGTTCTTTTTTTTCCTAGTAACTCCCAACTTAATAGTGGTTGCTTGCAGCCTTGTTGGGAGTGAATGCAAATAAAAAAAAAAAAAAAAAAAAACATAACAATATAAATTTTTCTTAATTCAACTGAGCTAGCAGAAGACATGATCATTCAGGTCCGTTGTTACAAATTTAGATCTTGTATAAACTTTTTTCTTATAAACTTTTTTTTGTATAAACTT